AATTCTAAGTATTTTGGGTCTATTATTCAAGAAATTTGGGAGAGTGACAAGGATGCCACTAACCGCATCTGAGATGAAATGGTGTTGTATCCGTAGTTTTGTGTGAGGAAAGTTCTACAATGGTAGTTAGACCACCTATATTTTATGGAGCAGAATGTTAGCCAGTTAAAAACTCTCATGTTCTAACTTATCGAGTACTTGACTTTAGATAGAAGGTTATGAATAACTTCAAGAAGAGTAGAAGGTTAGTGGGTAGTAGTATGTTGTCTTGTCCTCCGTCCATACTAATAGTTATCGAATTGCTCTTATATATAGTTTCAGGTTATTCAATTTCTGTTATTTATTGTTTTGTATTTTGACTATCATATAATTTTATTGTAGTTAAAGTCTTGTTCCCATATTTTAGTTGTTGTACCTTTATTACTTCGTTTTCTGGATGCTTTAAACTATTTTCCAAAAAAAAGAAAAGTGAATAAGAGAAAATGTTTATGTAAAAAATTAGGAAGTTTGTCCAAAAAGTCAAGAGCGGTAAGTATGTGGTATTAGATTGAAAATACAAAATTAGTAAAGTAATTTCATTCACCATTCTATATAAACAAACGTGTTTTAGTTTCATTTTGTGTCCAAACCCCTCCTCAAAGCCTCCAACAACTTTTGAGTTTTCCAGTCAGTGTTTTCTTGCTCATAATAATGGCGTCCACCCCTTCTCCTCACACTGCCGCCACAGCCCACCTCAATTCTCTCCTCTCTTCTTCTTCCGTCAATCACAACAAACCTTCAAATCTCTCTTTCCTCCATGCCTCCTCAAATCCATATTCCATCAAATTCCTTCACTCTGTTTCTGCGTCGTCGTCATTTTCACCATCAATTTCTTCTTCTTCTTCAACGACGGCGATTTGTAATGTCCTCAAAACTGTTGAATCTGCTGACATCTCCCTCTCTAGAGATCTTCACGGCGTCGTTTCGACTTCCAAACCAACCATTCTCGTATCCGAGAAGCTTGGAGAGGCGGGTCTAGATTTGCTGAGGAGTTTCGGCAACGTGGATTGTTCTTACGACTTGTCTCCTCAGGATCTCTGCGCTAAGATCTCGCTGTGCGACGCGCTCATCGTCCGTAGTGGTACCAAGGTGACCCGTGAGGTGTTTGAGGCCGCTCAGGGAAGGCTCAAGGTCGTCGGGAGAGCTGGTGTTGGCATAGATAACGTGGATCTGCAAGCTGCAACTGAATTTGGTTGCCTCGTCGTTAACGCACCCACAGCTAATACTATTGCTGCAGCTGAGCATGGAATCGCTTTGCTCACCTCCATGGCCCGTAACGTTGCTCAGTCTGATGCCTCCATGAAAGCTGGTATGTCTAATGTACTAGCAAAACTTATTTTTATCAGCAATTTCTATAGATCTGGAAACAAGTCCTATTTGCAAAATTCTCATTATGAATTAGGAAACGGATCGTATTCAGTCTTCATTTACAACAGAAATTTTAGGTGAAATTAAAAAATTCTGGTACGTAGTTTTTTTTACTATGACTTTGATTTGAATGAATATTTGAACCTCTACTAATTTAGTAGTAATTAATTAGTTGGACTACTAATGATTCTATAACATAAAACGAAGCATTTGGTGCTGAAGTTTAAGGTTAGGTATTAACTAAAAAAATTAGATCATCACTTCTTTCCATAGAGGTTAGTCTTGTATTTAGCACAAACCATCTTTTTTTTACTTAAAAAGACAAAAGGGCATAGAAAGTTGTGAACTCTTTTCAGTTTTCACCATAACCACTTTAGTCACATAAATTTATTCTGAAGCTTCATTTTTCCAAGTTTAGCCTGACTACTGAGAGGAGAAATAACAAGAAGTGGGTGGGGGCATTTTTGGAATCAGATCTGTTGGTTTCTGGGAGTAGATAGTCCTAGATTGTGACATTTTTGTATTCTAAATTTGGCTGACTAGCTAGATCTCAACTTTGATTTATGGTCTCTTGACAATCAATCAATAAAAAATTAATCAATTCTTACAGGAAAATGGCTGCGCAGCAAGTACGTGGGTGTTTCTCTTGTTGGGAAAACCTTAGCTATTATGGGATTTGGTAAAGTTGGTTCCGAGGTTGCTAGACGTGCAAAAGGCCTCGGTATGCATGTTATTGCCCATGATCCTTATGCTCCAGCTGACAGAGCTCGTGCTATTGGAGTCGATTTGGTTTCATTTGAGCAGGCCATATCTACTGCTGACTTCATCTCACTCCACATGCCTCTTACACCTGCTACGAACAAGGTATTCAATGATGACACGTTTCCAAAGATGAAGAAAGGAGTCAGACTAATAAACGTTGCTCGAGGGGGTGTTATTGACGAGGATGCATTAGTTAGAGCCCTTGACAGTGGAATAGTTGCTCAGGTATGTTCAGTTCATTCACTTCAGTATAATATTCCTTTATTCAATTAGTATCAACTTTGAAGCTCCAATATTCACTAGTCATCCCTTTCTTTCACAGGCAGCACTTGATGTGTTCACTGTGGAGCCCCCTCCAAAAGATAGCAAACTAGTGCAGCATGAGAACGTTACTGTTACACCTCATCTTGGAGCTAGCACAAAAGAAGCACAGGTACAATTATTATCTACGTTTAAATCATTTGCTGCACCTCCTTGTCCTATGCATTTGCTTTATTATACTCTGTTCTGTCCCTTGAGTTGTTGTGTTTTCAAAATCTTGTTTTCATAGGAAGGAGTTGCAATTGAAATAGCTGAGGCTGTTGTTGGTGCTCTAAATGGGGAACTTTCTGCTACCGCTGTGAATGCTCCGATGGTCCCTCCTGAGGTAAGTTTTAGCATTATTTGCTTATTTTTCTCTTTTAAGTTTCCACCCATACGAAGGAAAAGGATAATGAAATTCCTGCTTCTGTTATCAGGTTTTGTCCGAGTTGGCTCCTTACGTCGTGCTTGCTGAGAAACTGGGTAGATTAGCAGTACAGCTAGTGACTGGAGGAAGTGGGATTCAGAGTGTGAAAGTGGTTTACAAATCGGCTAGGGACCCTGACAGCTTGGACACTAGACTTCTCCGAGCCATGGTAACAAAAGGCATTATTGAGCCTATATCGGATACAATCATCAACCTTGTAAATGCAGATTTCAGTGCAAAGCAGAAGGGTCTTCGCATTAGTGAAGAAAGGATTATTGTTGATTCATCTCCAGAGTACCCTGTTGAGTCAATCCAGGTGCAGATTAGCAATGTGCAATCAAGATTTGCAAGTGCGTTATCAGAGAATGGAAACATCAGCATTGAGGGTAAAGTGAAGTATGGAGTTCCCCATCTTACACGTGTTGGGCCATTTAGCGTTGATGTGAGCTTGGAGGGTAACCTCATCCTTTGCAAACAAGTGGATCAACCTGGTATGATAGGGAAAGTTGGGAACATACTTGGTGAGAGTAATGTGAATGTGAGTTTTATGAGTGTTGGGAGAACGGTGAAGGGAAAGCAGGCAATTATGGCAATTGGAGTAGACGAAGAACCAGACAAGGATACTCAGAAGAAGATTGGAGAGGTGTCTGCAGTTGAAGAATTTGTCTTCCTTAAACTATAGTCAATATTGCTGGCTGATGGAAGGAACTTGTTATGTATTACCAGTATTAAGAAAAAGATAATGAAATTTTAGCATTTGCTATGTGTCTGCTTAATGTGGGGGATTTAGGTGTTGGTCAAATTTCTTTCTCCTGTAATCCTAATACTCCTTCAAAATTTTCTATTTACAAGGAACACTTATTCTCTTTTACTCCACAATCTTTATGATATGCTCTATTTAGGTAAAATCAACAAAGGCAAAAAAAAATAGTAGTAAGAATAAAAGGATGACGTGAATAAAAAAATGCTAATCACGAATAAAGTAGCATCGCAAAGGCTACGGTGTTAGTTATCAGTGTAATATTCTTATCTCTTAATAAAAGTATAATAATCAATCAAAAGAAACTTAATCATAAGACTACGGGCAGGCAGGGTTGGTGACCCAATTATGCCTTGTGCTTTTCTTCGACATAATGATGCCCGTTTTTCATTTAGTAGTAGTAATTTTTATTCCACTTCTCCAACGAATTTATATTCAACTCCACAAACGAAATTAAGTGATTTGACCTTCCTATTTCAAATTAAAGATCACCTATTTTAAGATACAAAGTAGCTTTGAAATATGGGAAAGAGAGAAGCCAATGATTTTTTCAAAATTGGTTGAATCAATCAAATTGAATTGTATATAAATTTATAAGCGTACCTTAAACCTTGGTATACTTGGGTGTTGCAATAAATTTTATTAAAAAAGAAACGTCAAATTCAAAAACCTAAGGTCATTGTTACGATAATCCAAGTACTCAATACTAATTTGTTATTATCTAAAGTTATAACAGGAGTAGTAGTTATGTAATTATTAAGCGCAAAATTGAAAAAAAATGATTAATTGTTTTTTGATTGTTTAAATTGACAATTAATTTTGGTAAACTATTTTTAGTATACCTGATAAACAATAGTGGACGGAGGGAGTAAGTTTTAGTATCGCAACAAAAGATAGTCTCAATTTAACGATAATAGTGAAAATTTTACAATATTTACTTTGTATATTTAATTACAGATTATTATTTTGTCTTTTACTAAATTAAATAAATTAATATTTTAAAACCAAGTTAATAGAATAATGAAAGTCAAAACAAACTATCCATATTACAAAGGATTTGTCATTTTAGGATATATTATAAAGGAAAACGTATTTTTATTTTATGCTATTGTAACTTTTGAGTATTTCAATATCTATCACTTGTTATGGTTGTTAGATGACATTAAAAAATCAAATTGTACCAAAATCAACTTTTTTTGAGATAATTTTTACAAATTAAATTTGAATCATGATATAGTAAAAAGAAAATAGTATATTTACATTTAAAAAAAATATCCGACTGAAGTCTGAAGCAAATCATTAAAGACGGTGCAATTAACCTAAAAATATTAGATTTATCGAAACTATATAAATAATGTATTTGGACAAAACCCCTCTCCTTTTGTCGTCTTTCTTATTATCCCACCCAAAAGTCCCCAAATCGGTGTTCTAGGGTTTAGGGCGTGGTTGTAAACTTGTAATTGAGCTAAGGATTCATTCGATTGCAGATGGCTGGTAATGCTATTCATCCATTCCACCAACAGTGGCCTCCAGCTCCAGCCCCTCCTCTTCCTTCTGGCCCTCCTCCACATCATCACCATCACTCAATGCCCATCGATGAGGTAAACACCCATATCAAACACTTGCAGTTTCTTGCTTGCTTTTTCCGCTACTCTCAGGTTAATCAATTACGGGTGCTGTCATTCATTTTTAGGTTCGGACGATTTTCATCTCCGGGCTACCGCAGGATGTAAAGGAGAGAGAATTGGTGAATCTTCTGAGGTGGTTACCAGGTTACGAAGCATCTCAGCTCAATTTCAAAGGCGAACTACCCATGGGTTTTGCCTTGTTCTCTAACCATCAATGCGCAATCGGTGCAAAGGAAGCCATTCAGGTCAGTTTTCATGACTCTTCTGGAGCTTTTTCTCGCCGCCGAAAACGTCTTTTTGCATGATCCGTTACTTGGATGGCTGTAGGGTTTGATTTTTGATACGGAGGGGAAGTGTGTTCTGCACACAGAGATGGCCAAGAAAAATCTCTTTGTCAAAAGAGGTTAGTTTTTATTCTTGACTTCTCTCTTTATTTCTTGCTTTTCTTTCTGTTTTCGACTCGAAAAAGTTATATACATGCCCTTGTGGTCGAGGTTAGTGCAGGGAAAAAGGGCTAATTTCTTTGGTTGAATAATGCAAGTATAAAGACTTAATACCATTTTATTCAGTGCACAAAATAGTACCTTTTTAGAAGCCATTTTATGTGAATGTGTTGCTATATAGAAAGTCAATCGATTATTTGAGTACAATTTCATAAATTCTTTTTAAATATTTATTATATTGACTTATAGGTACTTTTGATGTTGTTTTGAAATAAATAAATGCCAAGGGAGATTGTCACTTGGTTGTCTATGGGTTACTGTATTTTTTAAATCCATATCTGCCTCTGCAAGCATAGTCTTTAAGATGCTTGAGAAGATTAATGAAGAATTTGGTTCATTTTTAAAGCAGCCTCAGCTATTCACTTCAATCTTACAACCTCAAGCTATTTTATGTGTCAAATGCTAGCTTGTGATTACTAAGTGAGATGTGTTGTGAACTGTGTTGAGTTTACATATATAGAATTGCATTGGCTGATAATTTTGAGTTTATATTTCCATGATCGTCTGTTGGAGATTAGGAGGCTATATGTACCCAGAGTGGTCAATCTTATTCTTTTGAATAGATGTCCAATGAAAAGAGCTTGATAAACTTACAATGAGATTTCCTTAGGCATGGTAGCAGTGGAAAATTCAAATATCTTATACGTGGATACTAAGCATTATCTAAACCACTCTGTCAGAAGATTAGGGAATTAAAGGCTTACATTAGTTTTACATGTTCTTCCTCCCGCGCATGTTGCCAGCCAACCCACATTTTTAAGGGTAAGATTAGCAGCAGGGAAAAATGATTGTTTCTATTGTTTATAGACCATATTGGAAAATAAAATGTTTCTTAGAGCCAGAATATCTGTTAATCTGGCAAACTGCTTACTCACATTGCTTGTAAATTTTCACGGAAGTGTTAAGCAAGGGAACGGGGAATACTTTGGGGCACTTCGCTGATTTTATTTTAATAGGAGGAATATTTTGTACCACATGTACTTTGATGACTTCCTCAACGTTGCAGCTTTATTGTTTTTTCTGATTTGTATTGGTTTTTATTTCACTGTTTGCTGCGGATTTTCTTAAATTTCTTAATTTTTGGGTGATCTTTTAGCGCCTTAGAGATAATCTGCTCTAGTGGTTTTACCCACCTTTATTTGTATGACAAAACTATGTTACACTAGATTCTTCTTATTTGATTTGTCTGCAGGAATTGTAGCTGATTCAAATGCACATGACCAGAGTAAACGGATGCGTACTGGAGGTGATTACACACACAGTGGTTATTCAAGTCCCTCTCCTTTCCACCCTCCTCCCGCACCTGTCTGGGCACCACATGGGTAAGAGTTCTTTAAATGCAAAATTTTCTTTTGCATTTTAAGACAACATTATGATGAAAAGTGTGATAACAGTAAGAATTGATTGTTCTAGGGGAAAAAAGAAAAGAAAGTTAAAAGGAGGTCAATGATTTCTTTTATTAGTATCAAATGATTGTATCTCCTTTATTTCCAACTCCCAACCCATCCCCCAAGTACAAAAAAGTAAGGGATTGTATTTCTCAGGTATATAACTCAAGCTCCTCCACCATACAATCCATATGGAGGCTACCCTGTTGCGCACATGCCAATGGCTGCACCTGCTCCTGTGCCAGCACCAAGCAGTTATGCGCCTGTCCAGGTAATGCATGCATGTCTCTGCCTCTGTCATTTGTGTTAGATTTGCAATGTTTTGTGCATAGAGCTAAGGGTTGACTTCTTTTCCGGCATGCCTTCTCTTTTGAGTTTCCTTTTTAGGTTTGTCTTGTTTTTGTTTTTGATCTGGGTATACTATGGCATATTTGTTTATGGCTTAGATATGACTTTATGGTTAAGTTGGTTGGATCCGACTTCCTTCAGTATAATAGTATCTGTGTTCTGCAGATCTTTTTGAGGCTGTTACCGGCTGGTTTTGTTGGGACAGAGTTATGCTTTATATAGTTGATGGATGTAGCATTTCTGCAGTATATGCTTGTTTTGATGATTAATGCATCTTGTATCGTGTAGTTTGTGTTTTGCTTTGTCCACTGATTTATTTTTTTCTTCTTCTTGTAGAATACTAAAGACAACCCTCCCTGCAATACCCTTTTCATTGGTAATCTTGGAGAGAATATAAATGAGGAAGAGCTGAGGGGCCTTATCAGCGGGTATGGCTCTGCATTTTGCTATTCCGTTTATGCGGAAGTACTATTTCTTATTTTTATGTCTCCCGCTAATGCCTAATCTATTCATTTGCTTAATGTACTACCAGACAACCTGGTTTTAAGCAGATGAAGGTTTTGAGACAGGAAAGACATACAGTGTGTTTCATTGAATTTGAAGTACGTATTATCCTGTACAAGATTCTTCTTGATTCATCTTTAGTTTTTGCGTACATTCTATGCTTCTTCCTCTTATCAACTTCTGCCCGTGGTATATGCAGGATGTGAATAGCGCCACCAATGTACATCACAGTTTGCAGGGTGCTGTCATACCGAGCTCTGGTTCAGTTGGCATGCGAATTCAATATCCTTTTTTCTTGTTTAGCTGTCTCATCTATGGTCTACTGGAGCTTGATGTTTCAGTCATCCTTTTTACTTTGTTTCTGCCACTCTATTGTTTTAGCGGTCTGAGTCTGACTGTTTACTTGATAGTGTGGACTTGATGTTTGGCAAATATCATTATGATTGCTGCTAACAGGCCGACACCTTACTAACATTTTATTTGTGATGTTGGTTTAATCTTCCTCTGCAAATGTTGTGGCCAACCTTTTCATCCTTTCCCCATTCTTTTTCTTCCCTAGCATCCAAAATGAAAAGAGAAAATGATGATAGTGCTGTGTGTGCCTCTGCATGTGACATTTGAGAAGGGGATATGCTTCTTTGAAAGCTTACACTTTCCTGTAGCCTTTTCCTAAATACATATTAAACCATGATGTATGTGAGAAGTAGATGTGATAATTTATCTAACAAAGGTGTGATCACCAGCTCATGCAAAGTACTCCTTTTAGGAATCTGAGTTTCATAAATTTGTAATCTATTGTAACATTCTTTGTATGACCATGTTTCTCCTTAATATTTAGCTACATATTCAAAGAATCCATTTGGGAAAAGGAAGGACTTTGGCCACCCAGCTGTTGCCCCCAATGCAAATGGAGCTCCTCCACCTCTGACATACTAGTAGCTGCAGGGGATGTATTCTGTTCTCTATGCTCTGCCAAATACAAATGCATCATGCAGCTGTTGCATGCATCCTTGCTATCATCAAGTCATGAGCATTATCATCTTGACATGAACATCTTTTTGGACCATATCATAGTTTATCCAAGACATGCATTTGAAGCACAGTCATCTCAACATTGTCAGCTTATTCAGGGTTCACATTTTGTGACATGTCATAAGATGCATTTAATTTTTGGCCTTGAATCTTGTTGGTCTGTGGTGTCGCATTGTATCCTACATTTGGGAATTTCTTTATCTTGTGTTAACATATGTTTTAAACCTTAAGTGACTTCTTAGCACCTCTAACAACGTATTATGTGTGAGTGAAATAGAATCTGCATCATAAATTGAGATCTTAGTGTGATTAGCATCCATCTCAACTCTCTCTGGTTAGGGTTGTCAGTCACTCCTTTAACCCCTTACTCAAACTGATGATAACGCTATAACATCCAGGTTTTCAGATCCTGGAAGACTGGATTGTCCTGGAAATTCTATTGTGCTTGTGTTATGCAGGATTTGTGCAAAAAGAGGGGACTTCCTTTTACTTGGGGATTGGCAATTGCTGGAGTTGCTTTATCCAGGTATTTTGTTCCTCATGCAGAGTGTGCACGATTGTATAGATGTTGATGCAGCACCGTGTGAGAAGATGGTTCTTGTTTGTTTCAGGCTGGTGTGCTAGGTTTGAGCTTTCTCGCATGTTTCCTTTTTGCTCAGCTAACTCCAATTGAAAACAAAAGTTGGACTCCTTGATTTTTCATGGTTGACTGGTTGTGGATAAATGATCTGTAACAATTTAGAATGAGTGACTTTGAAGAGCAATAGTTAGAGGATTTTGTAGGAATTAGTAAATCCATTAGATTTCTAAATCAGCCAGTATTTCTACCTTTTTTTAAAAAAATATATAAAGGTGATAACCGAATAACTTGATTTAATTGGTTAATATTTCGGAATGCTACATGAAATCATCATGGTGCAGTGCCTGCACTGAATATCACAGCCGTAAGTTTGATCAATGGTTGTCTGGTTGGAGGGATTGAAAAGATGATCTTCGCATGATTATGCAGTGTTTGGTTGGCCATACGAGATACCTTTTACCACTAATGCAGTGTTTATTTGGCTATATTAGATCTAGTAATTTTTACCTAAACTAATGCATTGTTTGGTGTGTTGCATTAAATGATTTTTCGTATTGAGTTGTTAATTTTTTTTTGCACAATTGTTTAACGTATGTGGAATATATATCTTTAAAGTAAGTGATATATCTATGTAACATTACTTGTGTGGAGTACTATCTACTGCATAATTATTGCTCATTTTATCTTATATATTAGGCAAGTTATCAGTGCCTTGGAATTTACGTGTAACTAGTAAGCACAGAAAATGATCCTAGGCAGTGATGCGTTTTGGGTTATAGTATGACAGGTTCGGTTGAGTAAAGTAAAAATTTATCCGCATTTGGGTTTACATAAAAACAATGATTATGTGATGATACCCTGTTGCCACTAAATCGTACTTGGTAACCAGTAATTATAGTCACTTTAATGTATCAGTTGATCATGACAAATTATGTTTTGGTGTAAACAGGGCAATTTTTTTACATTTTTGGTTTCATTAACTGGCTACTTCGATTGAGTTGGAGTGTGCGCTGCTGTTACTATTATATCATCTGTTCATTTTTGCACATCCTTTTAAGAAATAATAATTGATATGGTGTTTTATCACAAGTCATAATAATTGATTTTTAATGTTTTGAAAAATGATTTGAGGAACAAGTTAAGGGAATAACATGTTTTTACCGTGATTGCTCAAGTTAACTAGTAAAAGTGAAAATCTATTTCAAACGTGGTGGACAAATAAAAGTGATATGCTAATTGGTGATTAAAATCCAATTGTAATATTGGTTCGAAATTTCGTGGAATCATGATTGACGGCAACTTGTTTGGTTTTTTGGCAATGTGAATACGGATGCTCTTTGGAAAGGAATTTATGGCATGTCTCCCAACAAACTTTGGAAAGGACAATAATTCGAAGACGTACCAATATTTATTATTATTTATATTATAGATGATAAGAAGCAAAAAATATTAGGCGTTTCAGTTTTAATGAAGGGTGGGTACTACTTATTTTGAAGAAAATATTGAAAAGCCAATTCGGAGAGATATTTAATATTTATGGAACAATGGGAGGTTACATATATGCAGTAAGAATGCATAATATAATATATATATATATATATAGATAGATAGATAACACTTGAAGCATTATTAATCACCAGAATGGTAAAAGTTTATTGGTGTAATACGGTATCTACACTTTATTAATGAATGAATGTTGTTAGAGTGAGTCGGTCTTGGTCGTGTCGTGACTCGTGGGACATGGAAAATTGAGTAAAACAAGGTCAAAAAGAGTCCACAATCAGCTAAAATTGTGCCGGAATACTTCTGGCAAGTTCCACCCCTATAATTTATAGGAGAGAGGAAACATCTTTTTTAATACTTTTACTTGCCATTTATTTCTAAATTAAATTTTTATTTTTATTTGTCACTTTTACATATTAAGAAAATATAATAATTCTTTCTCACGTTTTATCTTTATCATTAAACAATCATTTTTCAAAACATAGTTTAATAAAATATCTATATTAATAATTACTTGTCAAATCAAAAATTTACAAATAAAAGTGAACGGAAAGATTTTAAAAAAAATGGTATGGTATGCTTTTGTGAATAAAGAATAACTCCCCCCACACTTTCTCTCTCTCTCCACTACTGATTAAGGTAGTTAAAGTTACCCACTTGTGTTCCCATTTCTTTTCACACTTGAACCCAGAAAATTCCCAATTTGTTTTCCCCTCCTTAAATTACACTTCAAATTTCGCTACATCCCACTTCTTTTTCTTCCCCCAAATCATTTTTCATAGTAGCACAAATTATGAAGATAGCTGTTAAAAATTCCATCTTTTTTTACTGCTGCTGTTTCTCTCTGTGGGGTTATGCTGTAATTGCTCTCACTTCTGATGGCACCGCTTTACTTTCCCTTTCTAGTCACTGGATTGGTGTACCCTCTTCTTGGAATGCTTCAGATTCCACTCCATGTTCTTGGGTTGGTGTTGAATGTGATAACAACCACTTTGTCACCTCTTTGAACCTCTCTGGCTATGATATCTCTGGCCAATTGGGACCTGAAATTGCTTATTTGAAGCACTTGCTTACCATTGATTTGAGTTATAATGCTTTCTCTGCCTCCATTCCTTCTCACCTCATTAATTGCACTCTTCTTCAGTACTTAGATCTATCCTACAACACCTTTACTGGAGAAATCCCTTCAAACATTGGAAATTTACACAAGTTAACCTTCATAAGCCTCCTCTCTAATTCATTGACTGGTAATATTCCTGATTCCTTATTTTCTATCCCACATTTGCAAACTATCTACTTTAACCAAAACAGGTTAAATGGTTCCATCCCATCCAGCATTGGTAACTTGACTCACCTTTTCTCTCTCTATCTTTATCAGAATGACTTGTCCGGTCCAATTCCGTCTTCCATAGGAAACTGTACTAACTTGCAAGAATTGTATTTGAATGATAATCATTTAGTTGGTAGTTTGCCTGAGAATTTTGATAAGCTACAACACCTTGTTTATTTGGACTTGAGCAATAATAGTCTACAAGGAAGTATCCCTTTCACTTTAGGTAACTGCAAACATCTTGACACTCTGGTCTTGTCATCCAACACTTTCAATGGGGAACTTCCTCCAAGTTTGATGAATTGTACTAACCTAAAAGTTCTTGCTGCTTTTTCTTCTGGTTTAAGTGGCCCTGTTCCTGCTTCTCTAGGCCAGCTCACAAAGTTGGAGAAGCTTTACCTTACTGACAACAATTTCTCTGGAAAAATACCACCTGAGCTGGGGAAGTGCCAGGCCTTGCAGGAATTACTTCTACCGGAAAACCAACTGGAAGGTGAAATCCCTAGTGAACTAGGATCACTCAGCCAGTTGCAGTATCTCTCTCTAAATTCCAACAAATTGAGTGGTGAGATTCCCCGCACTATTTGGAAGATTCAAAGTCTTCAACATCTTCTTGTCTATCGGAACAACCTGACTGGGGAATTACCTCTTGAAATGACTGAGTTAAAACAATTGAAGAACATATCCTTATTTGAAAACCAGTTTACCGGAGTTATACCTCAAGGTTTGGGGATTAACAGCAGTCTAACGCTGCTGGATTTCACAAACAACACCTTCACAGGTCCTGTTCCACCTAATCTTTGTTTTGGAAAGAAACTTGAGAAGCTTATTTTAGGTTATAATCATCTCGAAGGTGGCATTCCTTCTCAATTAGGACAATGTTATACTTTGACGAGAGTAATTCTCAAAAAAAATAATCTGTCAGGTGCCATTCCAGATTTTGTTAAGAATATAAATCCTATTTTCTTGGATCTCAGTGAGAATGGCTTCAGTGGGAAAATATCCCCAAGTTTGGCAAATCTTGGAAATGCTACATCAATTGACTTATCAGTGAATAAGCTTTCAGGGTTTGTACCACCAGAGCTGGCAAACCTTATCAACCTCCAGGGTTTGAATCTTTCGTACAATGGTTTGGAAGGTGTACTGCCATCTCAGCTTTCAAACTGGCAGAGACTGTTGAAGTTTGATGCAAGTCATAATTTGTTGAGTGGATTGGTCCCATCCATTTTTGGAAGCTTGGAAGAGCTATCCATTTTGAGTCTGAGTGAGAATAATCTTTCAGGAGGTATTCCAACCTCCTTGTTTGCACTCAAGAAGCTCTCCAAGCTGCAGCTTGGTGGAAATGCACTTGGTGGGGAAATTCATTCAGCAATTGCGACTGCATCAAGAGAAACACTGAGGTGTTTAAATCTGAGTAGTAACAGGTTGACAGGTGAACTTCCTGCGGAGCTAGGAAAATTCACTTTCCTGGAGGAGTTAGATATAGCTGGCAATAACATTTCTGGAACTTTAAGAGTTCTTGATGGAATGCGTTCATTGATATTCATCAATGTATCATACAACCTCTTTTCTGGTCCAATACCTGCACATCTGATGAAGTTCCTCAACTTAACTCCTACCTCTTTCTCGGGAAACTCGGGCCTTTGCGTGCACTGTGATCCAGAAGAAGGCTCAAATTGCCCTGAGAATATCATGTTAAGGCCCTGTGATCTTCAATCAAACAATGGAAGGCACCTAAGTGTAGCAGAAACGGCAATGATTGCACTTGGGGCACTGATATTTACCATTTCCTTACTCCTAGTAATTGCTTACATGCTTCTGTGGCGCAAAAGTTCTGGGAAAGGAGTTGCAATCTCTGCTCAAGAAGGTGCATCGTCCCTGCTTAATAAAGTATTGGAAGCTACTGGGAACCTAAACGATAAGTATGTCATTGGGAGGGGAGCTCATGGAGTTGTATATAAGGCCATCTTGGGTCCAGGGAAAGTGTATGCTGTGAAAAAGCTGGTGTTTGTTGGTATAAAGGATGGAAGCAGAAGTATGGTTAGAGAAATTCAGACAATTGGAAAGGTTAGGCACCGCAATCTTGTCAAATTAGAAGACTTCTGGCTGAGAAAGGATTATGGGCTGATTCTTTATAATTACATGGAGAACGGGAGCCTTCATGATATTCTCCATGAGACTAAGCCACCTGTAACATTAGAATGGAGCGTTCGGTACCGAATTGCTATTGGAGTTGCTCAAGGGTTGTCATATCTCCATTTCGACTGTGATCCTGCCATTGTGCATCGAGACATCAAGCCCATGAATATCTTGTTGGACTCTGATCTGGAGCCTCACATATCAGATTTTGGTATTGCCAAGCTTCTGGATCAGTCTGCAGCAACTTCCGCCTCCAATGCCCTTCAGGGCACTGTTGGATACATGGCTCCAGGTATGTAATTTTCATTTTTTTCTCACACTTCCTTTCAGTTAGCTGTCTCTTTAGAGATCTAGTCATCTGTAGAAAAATAATATTGACTGTGTCTTGTCTGTTTTTGTTGACAGAAACTGCATTTGCAGCTACAAAGAGCAAGGAGTCAGATGTTTATAGTTATGGTATTGTCCTGTTAGAACTTATAACTCGAAAGAAGGTGTTGGACCGTTCACTCTATGGGGATACAGATATTGTGTGTTGGGTTAGGTCTGTTTGGACTGAAACTGAAGAAATTGAGAAGATTGTGGATCCAAGACTTTTGGACGAATTCATAGACTCAAGTGTCATGGAACAAGTAATTGAAGTGCTTTCACTAGCTCTTAGATGTACAGAGAAGAAAGTCAGCAAAAGACCCTCAATGAAAGAGGTAGTCAAGCTATTGACAAGGTCAAGTTCGAGTATACGAAGCAAGTACTAGCTAGCAGGGACATGTAGTATCTAGTGTATCAGTCAGAGGGGGTTCCATATAAACGCCTGATGTGTTCTAGGTACTCTATTTTCCAGATTAAAGTAGTCCTAGCTTCCAGCTTTCTGAATCCATGTTACAAAATGCTCCCTGCAGGTTCAGTATCTTTTTATTGGTAGAGGGTGATAAAAATATATTTACTTCTGTAGTTTAGAAAGAGAAGGCGTGTGCCTTGTAGCTGTAAATGTTCTTTTCCATCACATGAACATGGATGAAAACTAAAGATAACTTACTGATTTTCATCTTAGTTAATCATATTCTCGGCAAAAAGCAGTTCCTTTTGCCATTCTTAGCAGGATCTGTTATGGTAAAGCCATATTGTTTTCTCCCTAGCTATTTGCAATTGTACAATTACTCCAATAAAATAAGCTTTCTTAAGCATTTTTTTTCTTTTCTTTTTCCTTGGTGAAACTTGATAATCATTTGTAGTAGTTGATAGCTGAAATCTTCGCATGGAATCTTATACCTGCTTTCCGCTGCTTTCTTTGCAACGTTTCCAACATAAACCTACTGTAAAGTAAGTAGGCGTTTGGCATAGATTCCAAATATTTTTCACTTTATTTGGAATTTATTAGGTAGGAGTTATGTTGGTTATACTTTTTGAAAATGAGAGGAGAGCCCTTTATTTGGACTTCATGAAGATGGAGTTGGAAAGCATGTTTCGAGCATTTCTTTTCCAAATTTGGAATCCAACTCCTAGTTGGATTTGGAAGTTTTATAACCAACACCGACTTTGAAATAAAGTGAAAAATTTTCTGGAAAAAAGTAAATAAATCTAATTAATGCCATGTATTTTTTTAATATTTTTTTTGTTGTTGATGTGATGTTGCCATCTCTCATCAAATTTATTGGGGAACTGGGTTGTTGTGGTAGTGTGTGGGTTTATTTGTAATCATAGTGGGAGACATGGTGCATATTTATTGCCTTTCATTACTGGGTGTAAGCTGGTTTCCTAGATCCATAACAGGTTGCAGTTACTACTGGGGGCCTGATATCTGAGTTGCGAAAGGTGCTAAAGAACCTGATCTTTGTTCTTCCCATTTTTGCTACATCTACACTTCATGAACTGGAATTTTGAATGGAAAATCTACTATACATGTATATGACTAATATATACTAAGCTGGATAAAAAATTATGACTGATGCGCAGCTGCTAAGATTCTAGTTGTGCATCACAGCATTGCTGTTGTAACCTGTCAGTGACATCAATGGCGGTGTTTGATTCTTCTGGCAAAATTGGTGCCAAGACGGTGGAGTTTGAAGAAGTAGCATTTGTAGGTATGTTTGGCAATGCAATGTTGTTGGAGTGAGTGGAAAGAATATTCATAGGCAGACTGAGTACCATTAGATTAGAGTTGGACAAGTCAACAGACTGTGATGAAGAAACAATTTCTGCTACTTCTGCCATGGTAGAAGGATGAGATGAGAGGTCTCTTTGGTCAAAGTGTCGACCCATTTCTTTAATTTTGGACCAAACGGTACTTCTGGAATTCAAAATTTGCTGAAGAGAACTTCTGTTTTTGGTAACGTAGATGACTATGAAAATAAGTACGCATGAAGATGTGATGGTGCCAGTTATGGCAAAGAGCCCTTTGAAACCTTGTAGTGAGACACTGACTGAGGTTACAATGCTGTCTGGACCATTACATGTGGGATCACCTACAGACCACTTCCGTTGGATGTCTAACATCTCACCGTTCTCTGTTAGGTTGATAACTGCTCGAGAGACATCAGCCACCAAAGGACTTCCCTTTGGGAAAACCTGTTCATTTTCAAAAGACAAATTAGTACACCAGCTGCGGAAAGGGATGAAACTATTATTAATATATACTGCAAGGGGGGAGTGGATGAAACAATTCTTAATATATATAATAGAGTATAGCCTAGTGGTCAATGAATTGGGGTAGGGGGGAATCATGGTCAATGAGGTCTCAGGTTCAAATCCTAGTGGATCTAAACCATGGTGGGCAGAGTTACTTGATACTTGTCCTAGTAGGAGGTAGCAGGTATCGAGTGGATTAGTCGAGCTGCTCGCAAGCTGGGCAGACATCATAATCATCATATATACTACAAGGAGACTAGAGCAAGTAGAGCTTCTTTTATGCTTACAAAGGCAAAACCTTCAGTGCGATAGGTAGGGCCGACAATGGTGTACTTGTCACAGTACTTTGCTAGGAAGAGTTTGGAGTAAGGAACCACATCAAAAAATGCTGATATGTTGCCACTCTTGCTTCCAATTGACAGAGCTTCTTCATAATCTTCTGGAAACCTGTACATCTTGATCTTTGAGTCCTCAAAACCCACCCCCCTTAAAATATCACATACAAATGAGCCTTGGTAACAGCCCACAGAATGTCCTTTCCTGATGAGTTCCTTCACATCTGCAATAGTTGGTCGTAGCCTCTGTACGGTCAATCTTGATGATAGGCTAGCAGTGTAAGTGGAGTTCAATATGAGTACTACGAACATCCATACTACTACAACCAGACGAGCCAGATTGCTCACCATTCTCTCTCCTGCAGAATAAGATGTCAGAATAAATTTAGTCAGGTAAAGTCATTTATGGGGAGATGAAGAAGATGCGTTTACAGGGGATCAACTCACTGTGTGCAAATACTAAAGTGGAGAAGGGAAAATAGAAGATCATGCCAAGATGCTGAGAAGGGGGACCCCGAAAAGCTGAGCTTATTCTGTGTTCAAGAATCCAAACAGCTAATCCCGTGACAAAGAAAAATGCTATACTTGTGAGCCAGAGTTCCTTCTTCATGGGCTTCAAGAACGTCCACATATTATTGTCATCCTCATAGGTAATTGGAACAATTCTAACCACTCCTCCTTCTGCGAATGGCAGAGTGAAGTCCACGTAGTTTGATCGGTTTCCTGTGATTGTAATATCTCCAATGGCAGCATCATATTTCTGATTTTGCAGGGTCAAAGAACAGAAACACAATCTGGTAAGGAAAAAGAGGAACGACTAGCTGGATAGTAAAAATAAGATTCTGCTACCAGTACTAGGTTATGCTCTAGTTACCTGTAGAAACACTTGATTTACAAGATCATTGTAAGTCCCTGCACATGAGCCATCCGGCTTCTCAAAGTGAAAGAAGTCGTAAGGCACAGCATATGGTAAAGCTGCCATCACTGATTTGAATACTTCTATGTAGCACCCACTAAAATGAACAGCACCCGTCCTCGAATCCTTCATCACATTCAAGTATTCCTCAAAACCAGGTCTCACTGCCACTGCAACTTTTAGCCTTTTACCCCTAACTGGAACTTCCCATCCCCTTGGTAGCACTCTAGATTTCCCTGGCCATATGATGTTACTATTAAATTCCTCCTTTGGGGTTGAATCAAATTTGTCGCTAGTGTTGTGTCTCACCCTTTTGAATCCATGAGCCTGTGTCCAGACTGCTACCTCTTTTTCTCCATTTCCAACAACATTCAGTATTTTATATGACGTGGGATACAATTTTCCACCAACGAGATGGAACATTCCACTAAGCCCTTTAAACCTAGTTGTCAGAATTGCTTTGAGAAGCTTAGGACCTGTTTTTGAGATAGGAAGGTTGAATGGGTCAGAAGAATTGAGGTCGGCAGTTGTGTCCTGATATGAAGCTTCTGGATAGTGACTTCCAACTTGCTCGGCAGCCATAGCTAGTGCCCACATAGTATCATATGCCCATACATCAAAAATGCTCACCATATCTGCTGATTTATAGCCAGGATTGACGGGGTCAAAGATTGTCTTTTGCAATCTCAATGACTCAAGATGGCTAGTCTTGGGAATGAGTGGCTTTACCCCCAATACACCTTGCATGGCTTCCACAACATGTGAATTCATGGAAGGAAGGAAGTCCATAAGACCACTGGTGATGATCCAGACATAGCCCTCACTCATCATACCTATTTCCTTGGCTTTTAGAAAGAACTTGGCCCCAAGAGAATGCGACAAATGTGCTATGAATACCCTAGTCTGCATGGTCATCATCTTGTACAGCTCTTTGAGTGTAAAATCCTCGTCAGCTGATACCGGGATGAGGCTTTTGTAGGCAACATGAGCATTGATGTCTTGCAAGGCATTAGACAAGTAAGGAACAATGCCATTACCGTACTCTTAATCTTCATAAATGATCACAACCTGATTCCACTGGAAGGCTTTGACAATGGCAGCAATGACACCAACCTCAGTGTCATCAGTTTGGGCTGTTTGAACAAAAAATTTTGGAGGTTGAAGAGAAGGGCTGGTTGCAGAGAAAGATACTATCGGGACTTGCGCTCTCTCTCCAAGATTCATCAAGAAGTTGGCTTGTGTTGATTTTTGAGGCCCGATTACTGCATCGACTTTTAAATATTTCAACAATTCAAGACCTGCAATTTTTATGCCAAAGGAAGATGGATTAAAAAGGCATGGTTTACTTTCCAATTTTAGGGGTGCATACAGTCCATTCAGGCAGACCAGATATCATGATATGAATTGATTAGACTGGCTGCGAGTAAATTACTGAAATTGGTAGTTAGTGTTCAAGGCGTTTATCACATACTTGCTAGAACTACAAGTTGGAGGCAGAGTCAGGATTTCAGCTTTATGGGTTCTAGAGTTTAGAACAATGACTTCAAGTGGTAGTAACTGGGTTCTAAATAATATTATATTTGATGGATCTTTTTAACACAAATATATTGTTTGAACAAACGCTACTGAACTCGATCTATTTCGTGTCTCGCTTCTAGCTCCACCCTGGCTGAAGGTAGTAGTCGTTGCAATGTCAATAAATGAAGTAAAAAAAGGAAAGGAAAATCATTGTTCTTTGATCGCTAGTATTACCTGATTGTTTGTTTCACTTTGTTTATCTTATTATCTTGTTGATTTTACTGCTTCTTTATCTTCTATCCTTGATTCGGGGGTCTAGTTGAAACAGTATCCCTACCCTTACATGGCAGGGATAAGGTCTGCGATCATTCTACCCTCTCCTGACCCCACCTATACCAGGTATGTTGTTGTTTTTGTAGGCATGATGACCTTAGATTGATGGTATAGTGAACCTCAGTAACCCCATAAAGCTAGCAATTCCTGCTATCAACTACAGCGTAGTGTTTCTGGATTAAAGAAGATTCTTTTGCTTCTGAATTCTACACTGATCCTCGCAGGTACTTCTTTTCCTATTTTTCCCTTTTAGTAGTACTCTATTGGACAGTGGACATTTACACATATTTGTTTCTGACACAAAGTGTATAGGGATGTTAAAGGAAAAGTCTACTTACCGGAAGCAGCAGCATCAATTACATTTCTTTTGGAGTCCCTGGCATGAAGAACCAGTCTTGTTTTATAGTTTGGATGACGTGAATAGAAGTCAGAATGGGCAATTGTGAGGCAATTGAAAGCCCTGTGCCCAAGCTGTGTCTCCAAATCAAGAATCACACCCACTTGAAAGTTAATAACAGAGTTGTTGCCATCCAAGGTCCCAGAGCAACGCAAGGCGGAACTCATTGTAATAAGGAGGAGACCAACAAGAATGGAAGGGAAGGTGATGTTCATTGCTTTTTCAAGGAGGTACTAATTGATTTAGATTAACTAGAGAGTGTTGTTATATCTGAGCTGCTTATATAGGGCATCAGTGGACCAAGACTTGTATACTAACCAAGATCTGGTTTTGTTGTATGTACACGTCAACAATAAAAAATGCTGTGAAACTTCCTGGATATGGGGAGAATAAAAGTTATTGTATCAAGTCTTAGTTATTCTCAAATCTTTACTATATAAAACTATTAGTATGTTATCAAGCCAAGCAAACAATATAATAATAATATAAAATATTCAGAAATTCGTTATAATTTTTGTTGGCGTCAAAATCTCCGAAAGGCCAATCAATTCCTAGAAAATCATATTACAAAGCAATAATTGGAATTTTCAACATCATTGAATTTACCTTTTATATCTGGATTGGATGCTTAACTAAGTTTACATTTGTATTTATCTTCAGCTCAAAATTACAACTTAGCTATGAGTATGAGGTGCTTAGACATCGTTTTTCTTGTACATAGACAAGAAGGTTAGATTTGTATTAGTCTTTGTCCCTACAGAATAAGGTGTAAATGTCAATTTCAAAAAAAAAAAAAAGGTGTAAATGTCAAAGGGGCATATATTGTGAAGACTATCAAGTATAGTAGAACTTATCAACAAGTTTGCAGTGCAAATGGTGCATCTTTTTGTACATGAATTTGACTTCAGCCTCAGTTTTACTTTGAATAATAAAGGCTTGACATGACAGTTTGAAGGCAAAGTTGTGATAGATAACTGGTAGAAGCTCATATGTTGTTTGTTAGAGCCTAGAGGGGGGGAAAAATCAACCAATTTTTTTAAAGTTTAGATCATTCAATTTAATAAATTGGCTCATCCACAATTAAAAGGAAGATGCAGTCATTATAGACGTTGCCAAGATTTTCATTCAGAATATTGAACGATTTGGCTTTGGCACTATTCAAAATTGATATCACACGTAATCCCTAATTTGCTTGAGGAAGAAGTAGCAGTACCGATATTGACATTTCACTTGACCAAGCCTCTTTATCATCTATCTCTCAATGATTATTCATAAACTGAATAATGACGGTGCCTTTCCCTTTATTTTATAGCACTAACTACATAATCAAAAGCCCAATCTATAGTTATTTAATTACTTTTTTATTTATTTATTTTTAATATTTCCAAATAAACCCGATAGGAAATGATAATAAAATATATTTTTTTATTTTTATAAAATCAAACAATAATCTATAACGTATATAAATTATTTTATTTAACAATAAAATATTCACATGCTTCAGGCTTCAATGCTTATTTTAACATCATGTCAAACACATATGATTCAAATTATATTATTAGTTTAATAGTATTCTTATTCTACTTTAAAAATTATCCAAAGGGATAGATTAAAACTACTTATGTCAGCATATTAATAATTTTTATAAAATGATACGAAACAACAAAGTCTGTTGATAGATTAATTTTGAATACACTTAAATTCATTTTATTGGTGTTTAACAAACAAAGTAATGACCTACAACCATATCATTCTTTACAAAGTAAAAAAATAATAATTCTAAAATGATTTGTATATATGATCAACGAAGATTTTACCTCAAATAACGAGAATTAAGACTAACAACTATTAACGTAAGTGAATATGTTGACGTGATAAAAAAGAAAAAAAAAATAAACACAAAAAATGAGCAATGCTTGACACTATCATATTGTGTCTTGATTTATCAGGTGCTCCATTATTGGCGTTGTTGGCGAAGACGTTGACAAGAATGATGGAGGTAATTTTGTTGAAATTTGGTTTTAGTTAACTTTTAGCAAAATAAGTTGTCTGTTTAAGATGAACTTGAATTATGAATTTTAGTTGGTTTGTTCATGTTGTTGAGATATTTTATGTTGTTTTAATTTCAAATTATGTTGGCTATTTAACTTCCTTGATATGGGGGGCAGAGTAATTTTTTATAGTTATTCCCAGACCGAAATGCAGTCGTTCGATTCTCATTATCCCCTTATAATCAGAAAGATGAGGCACAGAAAAGGTTAACAAGTGAGAAATGATAAAACTGCACAATTAGTTGGTAATATGTACTTTACAGAAGCCGAAAAAAAGGAAAATTATCTTCAGTTCAGTTCAGTTATGCAGATGGATGGACTACTCCTGAGTGTTGTGCAGAAGACATGTCTTCCAAATGAATCGCTCCACTGGCATCTTCTGGTGCAAACGACACTATTTCATGACTTCTTGGCAAATCTGTTGGTTGGATAGAATTTTCTGAACAAATAATTGTAGCTTCTGGAAGTTTATCTTGTGGTGACAGTCCAGATGATAGAGATCTCTGATCAAAATGTCTGCAAATAGCTACAACTTTTGACCAAATTGTGATTGGTGAATTCGAGATTCTCCCATGGAAATCTCTATACCTGTAGAGGTAACTGGCTATGAAAACGAGGAGGCATATTGCTGTAACTCCTCCAGTGATGGCAAAAAGGCCTTTGAAACTCTGCAACGAGATCGTGATTGAGTTCATACTCTCTTCTTGTCCTGCACAGGTTGGTTCATTCCTCAACCAATTTTGCTCCATTTCCAGTATCTTCCCATTCTCTGTTAGTTCGATGACCGCACGAGACACATCAGCAACTAAAGGAGATCCTTTAGGGAAAGCCTGTTTGATTTTCGGAGTAGCATGAGATACTCATTTGCAGCACAAAACACATTCGCTCTAACAGAGAAATGTCAATGTCTGTTGGAGCTTTAAGCACAAACTTTAACGAAGAAAAATACTAACTATTTGAGCAAGAGAACTAAAACAAATATGTGAAGTAAAAATCTCATCAATCAAAACATGTGCTTTTTAATTAGTTTTTCTTTAAGCTAGTTTTTTTATACTAAAATTTTATTTGTCATTCCTAATAATAAAAATCCAATAGTGCTACTGTTTGTTAACAATCAATGTATTGTATTGTCTAGTGCTGCCTTGTTTAAAACAAAGCCTATGGACGATGAGGCCCATGCCTATAGTAAAACTTCACTCAAGGGAGATCAAAAGGTCTTACAAAGGCAAAGCCATCAGTGCGATGGGTAGGCCCAACTGTCATGTATTTGTCACAATGATTGGATAGGAAGAGCTTGGAGTAGGGAATGACGTCATAGAATGCTGATATGCCACCATTTTTACTTCCTCTAGACAAGGCTTCATCACAGTCATATGGGGAAGTGAATGTCCTAATCCTGGACCCCTCAAATCCTTGTTTTTTCAAGAAGTCCACTATGAATGAGCCTTCTTGGCAGCCCACAAATTCTCTTTTCTTGATGAGTTCACTGACATCTGTGATTGATGGTTGAAGCCTTTGTACGGTTAATCTTGAGGATAAGCTTGCAGTGTAAGTGGAGCTCAGGATGAGTATGACGAACATCCATACCACTACAACCAGTCGAGCTAAATTGTTCACTATTTTTTCTCCTACAATGCAAGCAGATAATACATACATATTCATGAGTCTTATACTCTATTATAGAGGAAAATGTCAAAATAAAAAAAATGAAAGATTAAGTTACTACTCACGGTGTGCAAATACTAGTGTTGAGAAGGGAAAGTAGAAGATCATGCCCACATGTTGAGAAGGAGGTCCCCGAAAGGCAGAGCTTACCCTATGTTCAAGTATCCAGACTGTCAGACCCGTGAGAAAAAATAATGCTATACTTGTGAGCCAGAGTTCTTTCTTTAGGGGCTTTAGGAAAGCCCATATATCGTTGACATCTTCGTACGTGGTTGGCACAATGGTAAGAACTCCTCCTTCTGCAAATGGCAACGTGAAGTCCACATATTTTGATCTGTTCGCTGTGATAGTTATATCTCCAATTGCAGCATCATAGTTCTGCATTCATTGCATCATTGCAGATTGAAGTTAGTAATGAAAAATATAGTCTTGAAGACACCTAAGTCCGACTAGCTTACCCCAAGAAACACTTGGTGAATAAGATCATTATAAGTTCCTGCACTAGAGCCATCAGGATATTCGAAGGGAACAAGCTCATATGGCACAGCATATGGCAACGCTTCCATGACAGATTTGAACACGTCTATGTAGAATCCACTGATGTGGGCATTAGCCTGACCATCCCTTGTGACTCTAATGAAATCTGTGAAACCAGCTTTCACTGGCACTCCAATTTTTAATTTTTTACCAGACATTGGAACTTCCCAGCCCTTGGGCACAACTGTTGAATCACCAGGCCATATGATACTCCTGATATATTCCCTGGAGTTTGTATGATTAGTTGTGGTACTGTTCATGTTCAGTTCCCTCCTTATTCCATGTGATGGAATCCATATTCCGACTTTCTTCTGTCCACTTCCAACCACATTAATTATCTGATAGGATGATGACTCCATCTTACCATCTACAAGGTGGAACTTCCCAGAAAGCCCCTCAAATTTTGTCTCTGACATTGCTTTTAGAAGTTGTGGGCCGACTCCTGACGTTTTAAAATTGAAAATGTCTGAAACATTGAGATGAACACTTGAATTCCCTAAAGCCTTTGGTGTCTCTTTTAATCCAACTCTTTCTGCAGCCATAGCCAGTGCCCACAATGTATCATATGCCCACAGACCAAAAATGCTCAAATCTGCTGGTCCGATGCCAGGACTTTTCTCTAAGGATCTTTTCTTCAATCTATTGGCGAAAGAGTTGAGCTGTTTAGATTTTGGTATAAGAGGTTTCACACCTAATACCCCTTGCATTGCTTCAGCAACATCGGAATCCATCAAGTAGACTGAATCCGTTAGTCCACTGGTGATGATCCAGGCATAACCTTTATCCATCATTCCTATTTCCTTGGCTTTCAGAAAGAGTCTGGCACCAAGAGTATATGACATATGGACCACAAACACCCTTGTCTGTAAAGTCATCATCTTGTATAACTCTTTGAGAACAAAATCATCACTTGCTGAAACAGGAAATACACTTCTGTATGAAATATGAGCATTTACGCTTTGGAATGCATTAGATAAGTATGGGACAATGCCACTCCCATATTCTGAGTCTTCATTTATGATAACAACCTGACTCCACTGGAAGGCTTTAACTATGGCAGTAATTGCACCAACTTGAGTTTCATCGCCTTGAGCGGATTGAACAAAGTAAGGAGTTTGAGTATGAAGAGAAGGGCTTGTTGCAGAAAAAGAAATTATGGGGACCTGAGCTCTGTCTCCAAGATCCATCAGAAAGTTGGCCTGTCCAGATGTTTGAGGACCTAAGATTGCATCTACCTTGACATCTTTCAACAAATCAAGACCTGCAACAAGGCAAATAATATTTGATTAATTTCTCACCCTAATACATCCGAAGAGCTTCTAAGGTTTAGCAATCAAACTACAGGCAGAGTCATCATCATCAACAACAACAATATACCTAGTGTAGTTCCACAAAGAGGGGTTTGGAGAGGGTAGAGTGTATGCAGACCATACCCTTACCTTAGAGGTAGAGTCTATTTCCGATAGCTCCTGGGTTCAAGGAGCAACGGAAGTACAAGAAACAACAAATCAGAACAAAAACAGAAGTTAGTAACATAACAGAAACTACAACAAGACAACACAATAATCGCGGTACAAGGAACAACACATAGATGAATGGAATGTGTCACATGATCACTTCCTAGTTCCTACCTACAGTTGCACATATCAAAAACAAACTCAGCATGTGAGTGTTCATAATATGCAATGCATGGAATAGGGGATCTGAAGGTTTATGTACCAGCGGCAGCTGCTTCAATGACTTGTCCTCGAGAGTCCCTAACATGAAGAGAAAGCCTCGTCGAGTAGTTTCTATGAACCGAATAGAAATCAGAGAGCGCCATGGACATGCAACTTAGTCCCATGCTTCCGACCATTGACTCCAAATCAAGAATCACGCCAACTTGGAAGTTGGAAGTGCGATTCTGGAAGTTCCTCTGTGAATTGCTGAAAGAGGAGCATATCCAGAGTGAGATGGAGAATAGTAGGATCAATTTCATCTCCTCCAATGCTTGATGACAACACCTGAATTGATTGGTCCAGACGTTTCAAACTATTCCATATATCACAAATTAAAAAAATTATTAGGTAGTTAGGGGGTGGATATGGGAGTTGACTTGGTAAAAGTCCATGCTTGCTTTCAATAATTAGATGACAAGATACCTTACAGTTAGGTTGTTCCTTTTTAAAATGTATTAAGTACTATAATGCAGTTTCTTCAAATAGGAAATGTTAAGAGGTTTAAGATGAGTATACTTGTGTAAATTGAAAACATATAAAAAGAAATACACTAATTTTGAAGACTCGGGTATGCAAGTACACAACTAACTGGTGAAGATTCAGACTAGGACCATTATTTCTATTCTTGGCCTGGTAGTGTAATTTGACTGTGGAAGATAGAATTGTATATTGATGAATTAAGTAAAGAATCTGGACTTGTTGGGTGCCAAGGCAAACACTGAAGTAAATGACTGGGAAATTAGGCTTCAAAGTTGACCCCCAAATTAAAAAATTTAAACAACTAATTGAGAGTAAGGGTATAACAAACAGACACACATTTCAACATCATAGAGACACCTACCAAGACACGACCAAATCAATTCTTACCTACGGTGGAGCAATTCGTCCCTCACAACACAAGCCAGCAATCGCTTGAATTTTTTAGTACCCTACTTCTGGTGGCATTGATTGATAAAAAGTCTATTAATTTGACATTTAAAAAGCCGACTATTAAATAGTTCGTCCTCATTCGCGTACAAACAAGAACTTGCATGTCAGGGGAGAGAGATTAAATAGATCATGCATAAAACTCCATTTTTGTTTTCTTCTGACGACACGTGTCTAGAATCACATATTACTTCCACATACATTATTTTCAAATACTAGAGCTTAATTTGTTGTGGACAGAGTATTATGTAATCGGTAGCTTTATTTGATTCTGAACAATTCTCACCACCTCATCAGTTAAGTTACCTATAATTGACCTCAAACCCCATCGGCAATGGAGAATATGTGTACAAACCAGCAGTTGTAGTTGATGACACCACTGCAGCAATTAAAAGAGAGATCATACTATCTTCGCTATGACAATTACATCATTAAGGCTTAATCTGGATAGAAAAGGAAGACGACTGTTCATAGCCATAGGGGCTTCCATCTCATATTACCAACTGGAATGGATAGTAAGGGAACATATACAAGAGACAAACCGTCTTTGGATTAGAGATCAAATAATAAAATCAAGATATACAAATTCCAAATACTTGCCTCAGGAACACTACAAAGAATTTCCTAAATCCACTACCATCCACCACAATCTACAAATTTGCCAACGGAAGCTTTCTATCAATACATTTTCTAACCAAGTCCAGATCAACCTTTTCATCACATATTTTACAACAGTAAAATTAATTATACATCAATAACTCCCGTGAGATCTGACAGAGGACATAGATTGGGCTGAGACAGAGGCAGTTGGACTGTTCAGGTCCCTTTCCCCATTAGCAACTTTGGGCTTTCCACTCAGCTTCTCCATAGCATCTTGAGCAATTTCAGTAAACCATTCATCCTCACGGAGAACACTGCACCAATGTCCACAGTTAAGCCAAGGCATGAAAATCATACAGATGTACAAACTATTAGGATTTCACTCTGTAAGTATTAGGTTGAAGCAGCAACACCCTTAATGCAAAGCTATATACCACAAATCACAGTACTAATAAACAGAGCATTGTGATTATTTCTTCTGATGTACCAAACAAAACGACCCTTTAATGCATTGCAAAATGTACTCACAGTCAGATAAGAATTCGGTAAAATTGAGAGAGTTTATACCTATATGGATCCATCCCTGTTGCAGCAAAGGCTGACATTGCTTTAGAGATTATGTCATTGACAACCCGAAGCAAATTTCTAGATAAGTAGCGTCCTTGCGAAGCAAAGCATGTGACAAACTTCATATCCAAATAGACCTACAAAAAGTTCAATATAAACATAAAGTTACAAACATATTGGCAGTGGAGAGAAAAACAAGATTAGTGGATACCAGTAACTACAAACCTGCTGAAGACCAAGATGACCCAATGGCCTTGGTCCTTCCTCTATGTCATCCCAAAAGCTCTGATCTTGTGAAAGCCACAAGATAACAGTTTCTGTAAGCCTCATCAACAACAACATTGCAAATCTTTCCCTTCCTACAAACATATCAGCAGCTATGGCAGCCATTCTGTTTAGTTTGACATAAAGTTCCTGGAAAATCGCAATATACATAGATTAACCATACACAGTTGATCATGTCTAAACAGAAACAACCACTGAAATTCGAGAAAAACCAAACCAAAACATTAATCAAATTGAAATCACAATCATACAAACAAAAGACAAACAGATACTAGGAAAAAGTGGTGCTCATATCACAACAGCTTATCCTATTGTTAATAATTAAGTACCCAGGAAACCAAGATCTCAACTCTTACATTGTTCTCTCAGGGGTCGTTTGGTTTGAAGACAAGTTATGTTGGGATTAGTTATGATAGGATTAGTTATGCTAAGATTATTTTTTATTGATTGTTTGGTTTGTCATATTCAAATAAAATGCATGACATAATATCTAAGAATAAGTTATTTGTTTATAAAAGAGGGTTTAAGGGGGTACTTTTGTTATTCTACATTTTTATCCCAGGATAAGTTATCCTAGGATTAGTATTCCACCCACAAGTAGGGATAACTTATCTCAATCATAATTATTAATCATAGGATAAGTTATCCCACACTTTGTAACCAAACAAAGAATTGAAGGGTACTAAAAACTTATCCCGGGATTATTTTTTCTTATCCATCACACCAAACGACCCCTTAGTGTTAATAATGAAGTATCTATAAATATGAAGATCTAAGCTCTTACACGGTTTTTTAAGTATAAAAAATACTCATGTTTGCTAAGAGTCTAAGAGGCAAGTGCAAATTCTAATGCTGCAGGAACTAACACATAATAAAGACATCAGTATTTCAGCACACTTAGTAGTTGAACAACTTAATGACTCATAGTGCTAGCAAGGGAAACACAGGAAGAGAAACTGCACCTGGAATATTAGAGAAGGGGACCATTCCATCTCATCTGCATTTCCCTCCATGTTTATATACATTTCTGCAGTGAGATGGCTGTCCCCTTCCTCAGTGAAAATAAGATCCAGGGCATGTTGTTGACAAAAGCTATCCTTTAATCGGTCGACCGAGTTCACCAGACGCTTTTTCCATTCCCTTTGCTCAGGGTGACGGGTTTGCCTATCTGAAGCTCTTCGTTGAAGATCATCCTTTTGATTAGCCAAGGGAGCAAGCTTCATACCTGCACGTGGCAGTAGTTCATCCGCCAATAAAGATGCATTTGCAAGCAAAGCAATTTGTTGAGCTTCAGTCTCGGCCATTCTAACAATTTTATTCCCAGAATCTTCAAAGCTGGCTTCCTCCTCCATGGAGCCAGGTAATGCTCTTACAAGAGTGTTCACATAAGTATTAAACACTTGAAATAGACCTTCCAAAGCTTTCCCTCCCAACTGCATACTTAGCAATGGCCCCACGTCCTCAAAGAAATCCTAGATAAGCAGTAGGAACGTAGCAAACTAAATTAAGTAAAAGACATCAGGGCCATTTGCAACGTAATACACAAAATGATTGCTTAAAAACATTGAATGCAGGTTTCATGCTGCAAAGAGAAATAAATTTGATAAGTAACAGATTAACACTCACTCAAGTAACTGTAACCAATAAAAACAATTACAAGAACATTGTTTTGATATAACAAAGTAAGATCTAGCTAATCATCTGTGTTGATCATCTACAGCCAAGCAGTAACAGAGTTGAGAAAGAAATGCATTGCATAAACAGGAAAGGTTGGCATATACAAGGTTTAAGTAATTCAGATCTATATTCTGGAGATGGTAAGAGGAGAGACATGTTCTTACAACGTTTCATGTTGAATGTATGTCATGCCATGACCATATTGAGGAAGATCTGGTGCTTCTAATGACGTAAGTACACTCAAACACCACTAACTACCAGATTAAAAAGGTAGACGACAAAGATTGTCTTCTGAAAAGCTGAATAATACTTTTATGCTGACATATTTAAGCACATGATGGAGGACAAAAGGGCATATCTGCTTCACTCGCAATCTTCAAATATCTTTCAAAACGATATAAAGAACTAAAAACAGACATAACAACTATGAATGGTGGAAACCAAAGGTGTTGAAAAGTAAAGTAAGCAAGAGTGCAGCAGGGAAGGCGCCTAAAGTACGTCGTTGTGTATATTGACACAAATAGCAGGTGCTTCTGGTGGAGATATTACACATTTATCTTTATCAGGTCACTAATTCTGTGACAATGACATTACCTGAACCATCAAATTGAATCGGTGCGCACTACTTGAAAGTTTATGCTGATATGCCCCTGTAGAACCAAGAACAGCACCGGCTGACCTACCGGATGTGCGTGTAACAGACGGTGGATATGTGAGTTCCCAATCATCAGCAGCTGCCAAAGCAGCAGTGCTTTCTTCAATTCGTTTTAAGTTGGCGTCTAACGCTTGCTCAACACTTGGTCTAAAAAGCTTCAGAAGCACAGGACAAAGTGCAAGTCCACGAGCTTCCAACAAGGAACAGTGTCCTAAAGCTATTTGAACACATTCTGCAGCCGCACGTAAGCCACCAGCAGCTGCTGATGAAGTTAATGCATGTCTTTTGACCAAAAGTGCAAATGCCTCTGTCTGCTTAGTAGACCACATCACTAGTTCGGATGTATAAGCTGGCTCTTTACCAAAAATAGCCAATGAATCGGTGGCTGCTTGAGCAATGCCAGAGAATACGAGCTGTGAAAGGGCGGCAGTATAAGCTCCTCCATAAGAGGTGCTAGATGGACGAAGATTTTTCATGTTGAATTGGTATTTCTGGTAATGTGCATTAAGGAGCAAACTATGAGCACGGGGGCCATCCCCAAGCTTTTTAAGAGCTGAAATAGCAGCACGAAGCTCTGCACCACGAGTAGAAGGTTGACAGGCAATTTCAGCAAGCTGATCAGCCAGATTTTGCCTACGTTCAGCAATGGCAGTTTGTAGTGACAACAGCACAGCATGACCTAACGTTTTCTTCTCTTTTGCTTCAGATGCTACGCGCTCTCCTTCATCAAGACTCAACAAGGCTTCATCTACTCTCCTTTCAGCTAATAGAACATCTAGGTGATCAGGAAACTCCGTAAGCCACTTTTCCAGGTCTGAAGGCTCCCTAACGTCATCAGTAGGAGAGCTATCAGATGTGGACTCGGGAACATCAGACAAAGAATCAATATGAACTCCCTCAGCTAAACCATGAATTAAAGTTGCTTGAGTAGATAGCAAGTTTTTCATGGATGACAGTTCACCCTCCAAATCTGATATCTCTTTTGATGTGCTGCAAGTAAATGAAATACAAAACAAGTAAGCACTGACCACACCCAACAGTTAAAGCTATCAGTCTGTCATACACAATAGATAAAGAATATAATACAGTTTGAAAAGGCAGTAGCAGGTCAAACTATCATTCTCAATGGGAAGCTTCTCTTATTTCATAGGCGTTTTCAGTTTGGGACGATAGGTCCGTAGCTGCTATATAAAGGACTCACCGAATGAAAGCTGTATAATTGGCATAGACACTTCTGCGCATTTCCTCAGCAGAAGCCCTTTTCAGTTCCAATAGATAAGAGCACAGCTGCCTTATTTCCTGCAAATTGATGGAAACTTCTATCAACAACTCACCACATTCATTGCCCAATAATTTAAAACGCCAAGGCGAAAAACATGGATGCCCAAATATGAATTCGAAGTTAAAACCATATTCAGATCACAGAACAATTTAGTCAAGTGAGCCGAATCCCCTCCCAAAGCTTAAAGCCTAAAAGATCCCGAGAATTAGTTGTTCCCCTAATCTCAAATATTCATTCCTCCATATTACGACCACGAAAGAAAAAGAGCAATTAACATCTGGTAGAGGGAAAGTAGCTTCTGGAAGTATTTGTCATCCCTATCTCTCACTTTTCCAGAT